GTGTGTGTGCGTGTGTGTGCATGTGTGCGTGTGTGTGCGTGCGTGTGTGTGTGTGTGTGTGTGTGTGTGTGCGTGTCTCTGTGTGTGTGTGCGTGTGTGTGTCTGTGTGTGTGCGTGTGTGTCTGTGTGTGTGTGCGCGTGTGTGTGCGTGCGTGTCTGTGTGTGTGTGTGTCTGTGTGTGTGTGTGTGTGTGTGTGTCTGTGTGTGTGTGTGTGTCTGTGTGTGTGTGGAGACCACGGGCTGCCCTTTGCGCTTGGTGCCCAACTTGGCTGGCCTCGTTGGGCAGGGCGGCGTTTTCTCCTTTGACTGACACTGTCCTCATCACAGGGGCCCCTCAGCCCAACAGGCAGCCTGGGATGGTGTTTTCAGGAGAACTGAGTGAGCAGCCAAGCTGGGAAAAAGAAACGGGCATGTTCAGTTCCTCCTGCGGTTTCCCCTGTAGTTACTCCAGTACTTTGGAAAGCAGCAGCTTTCTGCCCAGCTCTGTGGCGGGACCCCGAGGCCGGGGCAGCCTCGGAGCGGAGCCGGTTCCGYGCTGCCCTCCCCGAGCTCCCTCGGCGCCCGGCTCACGCAGCCACCTCCGCTCCCGCCCCACAGCCAGGGCAGTGTRGGGCCGGCCCGGGATCCCACAGGACGCTTCCTCGGGCAGGGTCTGTCCCACAGGGACGGCGGGAGCCCACCAGCACTTTGGCTCGCTCCAGAAGGGCTGTGTCGCTCCCAAACCCCCACCGCACGCATGTTGTTTTCCTTCTGCCGTCCCCAGGAGAGCAGGGGAGGAACCTCATCCTCGCCCTTTGGAATCAAATCAGGACACAGGGAACATGAGGTCAGCAGSCTCTTCCCATGTGCAGCGTCGGCAGCCGCAGGCTGCCAGCAGCCAGTTCACCTGCACTCCCTCCCACGGGCTCTTGGTGACGGGAAGAGCTACAGCCTGGAGCCGGGAGAACAGCCCAGCAGCCACATTCAGGGGATGGGCGAAGAGAGCCCCAACAATCCCATACATTAAACACAGGGCATTCCAGAGCATTGAGGTAAACAAGATGAGCGAAACGTGCACCTGCTTGCAGTTAGTTTCAGGTTCATTTGAGCCCTGTTTTCCATGCACAGCAGCAGATGTGTTCAGTCTGGGAAAGAGGAGAGGTCTCCAACTTCATGGGCCYGAAGAACCAGTGTCATGGATAAGCTGAGGCATTTGGAGTGAAACTTGATTGTTTTCTCTGAAATTAGGAAYGTGGGCAGCCAGGAACACAATCCACCCTTGTGGAAGAGCAGGAAACGAGTGTTTAATGATGATGTAGTTCGGTGCTTTCACCRTTCCTCTAGGACTACAGTAGAAACCAAGCTTGAACCTTCCTTCCCAGATGSCACTTGTACCTGCAGGGTCCCAGCCCTCCCTGCAGCCAGTGAATTAYGGAGCCTGTATTTAAATACACTTTCCCTAGCAGGAAGCTTTATGGTTTCCTCAGGGAAGAGGCTACAATAGGGGAAAATGGGAAGGAAAAAATGTTCTTTTGCTTCCATACCTGCCATCAAAAGAGACGTTCCTGAACACAAGCAGTGAACATTGAAGCTTTTTCCTTGAAAAGCACACAGCTGCCCTGGATTTACTCCCCAAACATGCTCTGCAAGCAAGGTACGTCCCCAGGAAGCCTGTTAGACTTCAAASAGGCAGAAATCCCCCCAAAGACCCATCTCTGCAAAGCCCAATCTGTGCAGATCCTTTGGGAGTCACACACCAGCCTTGAAGCTTTGTTTGCCCAGTATTTTGGAATAGCACAGCTGGAAATACTTAGTGTGGGATTTGATGTRGAGCCCCTTTTCAACTGCAGACACGTAGGTTAAGATAAAAGGCAGATCTGCTCAGATTCTTTCTCGCTAGCTTCTTTATTTGACTAAAATGCACAGCATAACCAAAACTCAGAAGAAAGGAAAAAAAGAGGCTAACTACATTTTTTTTAAATATTAAATCTTTATTATATACAAAAATATTTTGTTGGGAATTAACAGAATTTCACAATTTGTACATTACCACTTCTATGCCTGGCTGTGTTTAGCATGGAAATATTAGTKGTGAAAAAGATGGTGGGGAGCTTGGAAAACAGGTTATGATTTCAAGACATCCTAGGAGTAGCTGACTTTACCAACATAAAGTCACAATGCTACCAAGCCCCAGCCCCTAGGTTTGCTCTACAGTATCCTACTTCAACAACACTAATTATTAGAAATTCTAGGGAACAGTTAAGATCTCTTGAACAATGYTTGAGCTAAAGAAAAGTTTTGTTTATTTTGTTCTTTTTTTTTTTTAAACAGGAGAGCATTTTTTTTAAAGTCTTAGGAGGTGTCAAGTCTAGTTTAATATATTATAGGAAAAGAAAAACAAACATGCAGAGCTTGCCAAAGGGGAAAAAACATTTCTGAGAACAAGCAAGGTAAGTAAAGTCCTAAATTCAGTGACAGACTTTTGGTACACATTTGGATCAAAACATTTTCCAAGATTTTTACAATTCTTAGTCCAGAACAGGGGTGGGAAGATGCCAAACTTCCCTGTATTTTAGACCCCATGAAAGGTGTCCTCCTATTATATCAGGGTACACAAGTGTTACACACAGGCAATAGATGGGCAGGGGGAGGGACGGAACTCTCAACATGCATTCCTAAAGGGGAAAAACAGACTGGAACAGTTACCTGCATATACAAGTGTGTACAGGATGCGAATCCACAGAAATGAGTTAAAATAACAACTTTTGCTGCAGCCACCCGGCTGCCATTCCCAGAGCTGCTCGGAGCATCGCCTGGGTTTTGCTCTGCGCTGTGGCTCATCTAAGAGGTCCCGTAACAGAGACGGTGCTTGGGTTTGGGGAAGGCTTTACCACGTTTTACCTAAGCCTTGGCTACCTGGGCAGTAAGTTCTTGGAGCAGGCTTGAAGACAGACAAATTTTACACCCTTTAGCACAGAAAATCATTAGCACTGTGTTAATGACACAAAAAAAGAGGGAAAGCATTTCCAGGACAGCAGCCATTGTTAGCCTTGCAGGCTGGTCAGTGTTCCACATCCAACCATGGTATTAACAGCAAACAAGCCCCCATACTCAACTAGTGAGAGAGAGAAACATACTGAGAACAAGAGTCACACTTTACTCGAAGTGTAATTTAGCTCCTGAAATACACATATTGCTTACACCCTTCAATTAAAGGGAAAAGGTGGTATGTGAAACTCCCTGTCAACCTTACTGCACAGTGGAGATTTTGGTTTTAAGCCTGTACAGCTGAGCTGCAGCTTCGGGACCAGGAAGTGAAGCAGAAATTCAGCAGTTTGACCTCGGCCAGTTTGTGGAATAGCAACCAGCAGGCTCCAACTAAAAGAATTCAAGTAAGTTAGCAGATACCAYCTGAATTATTTGCAACATTACCCCTAAATTTTATTTATATAAATAAATATACACCCATTTATATATGAATATGCTTGCATGTATTGGGGGGGGYGGTGAACACAATGTTTTCAGAAGCTAAAACTGTCTCTGAAAACCTCTTATTTCACCAGTGTTTCCACTGCACTTTTTATAGCATCTACCTCGGTACCACACACAGTAAGKTACATCACTTGTAAATACTTGTAAATAATTTGTACTCACCACTAGTTCATCTACAAGCCAAACTGAGAATCACAAACAATTCACATCAATAAGCTCAATAAAAATACATGAAAAACCAAGAAGGCCGGCAGGGAGCGGGGGAAGAATTTGGCTGGAACTCTGTTTCATCACCCTCTGTAACGACTGTCAGCAGAGAAAGCAAATTAAAGAAGCTTTAGCCACAGAAATCCTGTTAATGGCCCAGGAGAGGTTTTCTGCATGGACTGCAGGGCTGGAAGGACAGTTAAGGCAGACTAGAAGTGTTTGTATCCACTAGCCACTACTGAAACATGGATAAGTGGATTTCTCRAGACTTCTGCCTAAGTAGTATCGTCATGTTTGGCAATAACCACCTTTTACCATTTGCTTTCACTCTCTGAATTGGGGTGAGGCAAAAAGTCCTGTAAGAAAGAAAAGAAAACAAAAAAAGGAAAACCTCTATATACACCTTCATTGTAGATGCAACAGACCTAGCTGTAGTTTGTCTTAAAACGGTACCTAGAGGCACGAAGAGTGATGGTGAATCTATTGCAGTAGGCACTAGAGATGTATTGAGGAACAGCATCTGCCTCCAAGATCAACCTGAGAGGGAAGAGGAACCAAGGAGCAGSTAAAGAAGTTTGGATCTGGAGAGATTCATGTAATAGGACACAGGTAAAGATGGTAACCAAAGTCTCCTCATTTCCAATGCAGGGCTCTATTTACTTGGTCATTAGTTCTTATCTAAGCATAGAAGAGACAAGCTGAGTTTGAAAGTGCTACCTACCCAGGAATTTTCTGTATTCAACAACAACAACAACAACAAAACCACCAAGGTTTCCTATTTTTCATCTGTATCAACCTCTAAAACCATAAAGACTTCTTGCACACTGCGCTGCGGGCAGTTTGTGCAACAAATCACTTCGTTACTTAGGTGTGACCTGGGAAGAGGGAAGGGGTCAGAAGYCTACAGAGAGATCCTGAATAAAGTSAGTCCCATTCTGAGTCCATCCTAGATCAACAGTTCCTATAACCAGCAGCTGAAAGCTCCCTGAAGCTGTCGCAGGAAAAGGACACCGAGCTGCACCCATCCGGGCACACGCACAGGTCAAGGAAGCTGCTCCGAGGACAAGTTTTGGCTGCCTGTGTCAGTTTGTGCTCCTACCCCAATTTTGCTTCCTTTTGATATTTGCAGAACATTTTTAAAGCCCTTTATAAGCAAGATGACATGTCCTCCTATAATCATCACACTCAACTTTAATCGACTGCATTTTGTCACGTTATTTACAACTAAAGGAGACCTGCTATTCGAATACTTAGGAGTTAACAGCAAGAACACTTGGGTTATACCTGCCCCAAAGGACTTCTATCAAAGTTGAGTCTGGTGCACATTTTGGGCGCACCCAAAGGGAATAACTTAGGGCACTGGCATCCGGACTGTACTTCTATGTATGAATTTTCATCCACAGGGAAACTACAGTTTCTTCTATAAGTCTCTCTTTATGTACAGAATTTTACAGCACCTCATGCACTGTTTAAAAGAAAGTACAGATAAATATAGATTTTTTTTTAAGATTGAAATATTTGTATATTTAGAAAAATATGCATTAATAAACACAAGAAACCAGGTAGAGGTGTACTGGTTCTAAAACCTCACATGCACGTTTGTTTCTGGATCAATCACGGTAGATTAGCAATGTGATTACAGACATGAGTTTTACGTTTTTTTTTTTTCTTTTTTTTTTTTTATCCATCCACATACACAGACAACTATTTGATAACTTACTTCTCTAAACTACAACATTATTTATCTTGTGATACATACCCCATATCTTAAACATTTAGCAGCATCTTCACCTTGCTCATACAGACCTCCTGTCATTAGTAACAGCCACCATAAATTCACCTGTGGGTAGCTGGAAAATAAACATTTGTATAGACCAAGCTACAGAAAACTTAAGTTACTTAAACATCCCCCCCCCAATACTTGAAATAGCCGTTTTATGAAATACTGTCCCTTGCTCAAAACCAACCCTCTTGCAGCATCTTTCTGCTCACTGCACAGTGTCTAACTTCTGATCTRGCAATCTGAAACAGGCTGTTACCCGCTGCATGTGATGGAAGTGGCATCTTTACTGCAAGCCCCTCCGAGAACGACTTTTTAAAGTAAATATGAGTTATCATTCGAGATTCTAGTCATCCTACCCACTGGGGACAAATTCAACTGAATGAAAGCCCGGTTTGCCTCTTGAAATAAAAAAAGGCTCATAAACAGTAAGCATGTGTCAAACTGGCCTTGCACTTTGCAACATTTAAAGGAAAAAAATGCATTCCTGGCATCTATTACAACTTGCATGGGGACCAGCTAAAACCCAGGTCATCTGGGGGGACCCCTGCACACAACCCAAGCGAGCCACCTCCGCCTGAGGAAGTGTTCTCCTTCCCCAGCCCCGGTGCCTGCTGCGTGTGTCACATCAGCTTAAGGGAAGCTATGGGCAAGCACAAAAAGGCCAGCGGGGGCACGGGCAGTTCCGGGGTGGAGACCCAAGGATCTTCTCACTCCGTCCATCCCAAAGCGCGAGCTCAGCCCCTCCTGGCCCCACAGGAACCAGCTGCTCCTACCGGATCTGCCCCGCTGCCACGGCCCACGAGCAGCATCCCCTGCAGAGCCCAGCTCAGCCACACTGAGCCCCAGAGCCAGGATTAACTCACTGGAATAGGTCAAGCCATGGGGGAACGGCCACCGCTGCTRCCAACGGCACGCGATCCATGTGATCCACGCGAAAAAGCGGCCGCTCAGCAGCGGCGGCAGAGGACGTTTCCCTAGGGAAGGCAAAGGGGTCCCAGCTGGTGGCACAGCTAAGAGTTCTACAAAGAAATAAAAATAAAAAAGCAAACAAAAAACTACAAAAAGTCTTGAAAATTAAAAGAATGTGAAAAACCAGCGGTGCAAATTTTGCTCACAAAATTTCAGATTTTGTGAGCAAGGGACTCAAGAGCCACAAGGATGACCCCGGCTACGCAGAGTTTTGACTAACATTTTCAACATAAACTGGGATCTCAAAAAAACAAACAAAACCCTCAAATTTTGTAAATGCTCTGTAGTTTTGCAGGGGCATGGGAGAGGATGTTGAGACTTAAATTTTTATCTCAATCTTGTTTCTTTTCCTTGTGCACACAGAAGCCTTTGAGAGCCCCAGGAACACCACTTTTCAGCCGGGAAGCCTCTTTTCTTTCAGAGATAGTTGTGAGGAAGTTGCCTGTTTGATAACATTTTGTGTCCCACTTTCTTGTTTTAAAGAATACAGAAGCCGGGTGCCTGTCGCAAGGTGGAAAAGAAATTAAGCAGACAACTGCAATGTCGACACCTATTCCGATTAAGTGATGGTAAAATATGACTATATACAGCAGCTAAATAAAATATGGTTGGTCATAAAACCAGCTAGTCKTTGTGACAAGCTGTATTTTCATTTTGTTCTTACTAAGCAGAAGTTTGCACTAGCGTAAGTTGTGAATCAGCGAATTGACAGATGAGCTTGGACATAAGGAAGAACTATTAAACACAAAAGGAATCGTAAAACCAAAAGGTAAAACCAACACTGCCTATTAGCAGTTGACAAGCGTCCAATTCACAAGCCATCCAGCAAAAAAAAATGCAGTTTAAAAACACAACGTAACAAAGAGCACAGAAATCCATCACGACACGTTCCAAAAAGGACAACAGCTGATCACTCACAAATATTCCAAAACATAATAGAGAAGCCAGCTAAATATCACAAGAACTTAAGTCACAGATTAATATACAAATATTGAACAATGTTAAAAAAAGAAAATGCTGCTTTCTTTTAGCAGTGTGGGTTTCTCTTTTTTTTTTTTTTTTTAAAACAAGTGTGAATAACAGTCCTAGACATTAAGCTTCACTCTACAAGGCTCCACATTATCCGGCCCTCTCAGGCTACTTCTCCATTACTCACATGCCACCAAACTGCCTTGCACGGAGGCTCTCCACCGCCAGTACTTCAGCCAGACTAAGGTAACAGGTCAGGGTTCACAAGAGCTTAACCAGAAGCCCACAAGGTACCACCGAGACGTKAGGGGAACCTACAGAGCAGCTGGCTCAATCAACAGACATGGAGAGCTCRTGAAACGTCAAGAACGCAGCAACGTTAAGCAGAGCGAAGCTGGAGCAAGAGCTGGGTGGTGGTTGCTGATTTCAGTATTTATAAGTCTGCTCCCGTGAAATTTATGTCTTTCAAAGGAAAGAAAAGAGATTAGTGTATCCTCCCGGGAAGAGCTGTAGACTTTTGACCAGTTTTAACTGACATTTACAAGAGTTTTACAAAAAATTTCAAGTATCATTTTTTTTTTTTTGTTAATCACAGTGAAAATGTAAGACCGAGATGTAAATGTTAAAGTGAACGACCGCAAGTTCCTTAGACGAAAAAGGCAAAGGTACTAAACCAAAACGTATAAAAATGCTTAAACGCATTTCCTTCATGTGATATGAATAGAAAGGTTATCCATAAAAAGTTAGAAAAATTAAAATAAATTACATATTTAAGTACACTTTCCCTTCCACGCTTCTATAAAAATTCAGCATCGTGTACTCCCGAATTTACCCCGAGTAGAAACGCGCAGGTTGCCCGGGGCTGGACGGGCCCGCGGGGCCGGCGCGGCTGCCGCGCGGCTCCGAGGGCTCCGGCCCCGGGAGCTCAGTACACCCAGCTGATGGGCACCCACTGGGGCTCCAGCCGCAGCCTCTCGATGGCGGCCTGCAGCTTCTCGAAGGCTCTGTCCAGGTTGTCGTTGGTGATGGTCAGGTCGAAGTAGTGGTTGTAGGCGCGCTGGATGCGGGCACTCTCGTCCACCGTTTTCTTCAGATCCGTGTCCTGTGGAAGGAGTTTTCTTAATTATCAAGCCCAGCGGACTTGGCAGCAAAGGATCAGTTCAAAAGCAGTCTTTTGAACTCAAAAGCAGGGCTATTTACACCTACATAATCTATACACTTAAAGCACAATAATCACAGAGYTGCAGGATGGTTGAGGTTGGAAGGCACCTCTAGAGGTCATCTAGTCCAAGCCCCTGCTCCAGCAGGGACACCCAGAGCACGGGGCACAGGGCGGCCAATGCAACGCAACGTTTTCATTTGTGTTCCTCACAAAACTTAGGTGAAAATCCTTTGACGGGTCTGAAGCATGTTGTGACAGCAATGCTATCTATCACAACCAAATGATTACAAATCTTGCTATCCCTAAGAAAGCAAATAAAAGCATTTCAGCTGGAGCCTGTCTAAACAACAGGCAGTTAATCATTTTGCATCTGCATCTGATGATTCAATCAGAAAAAGTTAACCTCTTTATGAATAATTGAGTCATTCACTTATATAAATGTCTTATTGATTTATTTTCAAATAAAAAGCACCAAAAATCCAAAAAAGAATTCAAGAATCCCAGTATGTTTGACAATGAAGGTTTCTAGAAGCTTCCTCAGCTCCTTAGTGTGGCATTTGCCTTTGCTCCTGCAGCTGAGCAAGTCCGTGCCCACAGAAAGGCCTCTACTTTGCTAGGCYGGAGGTGGCTGGGCTCAGGGCTGCAGCTCGTGTCAGACCTGCCCAAGGCCGTGTTGGGGCAGAGATGGTGGACGGGAAGTAAAGACACTTTGCAACAAAAGAATTCCCACCAGACCTGTTTTTTTTTTTTTTCCCCCTCAAATAATCAAATATGGCCCTTCTCAAAGAATACAAGTAATTCTTGTAATCAGTACTTCACCATAAGAGGTCTATCTTTAAAAAAGAAGCAATCTGCCCTATACACAGCATTTGATTAAMTTCCACTAGGTAATCAGGAAAGATCTTGTCTAGCCTTTCTTAAACGCTTCAGGAAAAAAAAATAAAGTTAAAACAACAACAACAGAAAAAAAACCTAAGAACACCCCATCCAAAGCAAGCCCAATGTGGCACACTGCTTACAGTGAGAAGTTTGGTTGTAATTCCAGCGTCCACCACAGCCTTGTGCATGGCTCGCAGCGTCTCCAGCTCTGGCGCAGCAATGAACACGACGTAGGGCATGAATTCCGAGGTCCGCAGGACTTTCAAGGCCTGGAATCAAAGAGAGGAAAAACAAATGCACCCGAATTAACCACATACAAGAATGATGATTCATCACGGCCTCATTAGTTGCGTAAATGAGCACTGCAAAGCTACTCTGTTACAATTAGCAGCACTGCATGATAGGCTAGTATTTTTATTTCAGGAACTCCTACCCTGCCTGGAATTACAAGGTTTCTTTTCAAAGTGCTCTGCATTGCTCTCGGCCACAACGGCTGCCTGCTATGGGGCAAGGCTCCCATGCAATCCCTACCTGGGGGTTCACATCCAGAATGCAGGTTCTTCCGGTCTGAACAACTTCAAGGATGGAATCGATTTTGGTGCCATAAAGATTCCCTTCATACTCTCCATGCTCCAAATATCTGCCAGCTTTAATATCTGTCTCCATTTCGGCCCGTGACACAAATCTGTAGGCTTGCCCGTCCTTTTCATCATCTCTTGGCTTTCGGGAAGTAACTAGGCAAAAAAATTAAAATATAAATTGAATTTACCTTTTTAGCTCTAGAACGAGACCGAACTGCCTACCTCCTCTGTATTATGGCTTTATACCCCAGGCAGCACTCACTCATGCCATCCTTTCTCATTATTCATCAAATAAAAATCACTGTTTAAGGGACCTGGAAAATGATGCAACTTCTGCTCTCAGATGCTAGGTTTACTCGTGAAAAYGTAATTAAACACTCATAGTTCTGCTTCCCCTGCCCCTCACATCCACCCACATATTTAGGGTGGAGACAACAGAGCTGCCTATAGGGTGAGCTTGCTCAAACACCAAAATTGGTCTAGCCACAAGGAACTCSGTAGGCTGCTTCATCTGGCCTCCCCTGTGTAAAACAAAATAAATTCAATGGAGAGGCTTTAATGACAACAGTTGAGTAAGACTAATAACTAGCTTAGTGGTTGGACTAGAGTGCAACACAGCTGTTAACTTAAGCAAGAAAGTGAAAATAAATGAAGAAAATATGATTTCAACTTCGCTGTGTTGCCACCATTTCACCTGCCCACTGCTTGAGTTCCAAAATCCAACAGACCAAACAGCAAATGAATCCCCTTGATAACACTCTGGTGCAAGTGGAAAACACTTCCCTCAACCAATAATTCCCATTAACCTCATTATTGCAGAAACCTGACCCAGGACAAATGGTCTTCTGAAGCCAGTGGTAATAAAAGCATTCCTAGAACACGAGGACACCTAGTCATAGGCAAGGCTGCACGGAAGGGTTAAAACCCTAATGATTAATACAATATCAACACAACTCAGATCATCTCGAAATAACCCTTGGGAAATGAGCTCTGACAGTTCACAGCCAGAAGATGCCTTAACAGTTCAGCTATGCACACTGAAGGAAAACTGTAGCACTGCTTGCTGTGGGATTGAACTCAGCACCAAGGACATGTTTTCCCTCGTAGCAATATGGAAAAAAATATATAATGCCTATTTGGAGATATAGCATGAACAGAAAGCTGTACTTGTGAGAGCTTTTTTTAAAAATAATGGAAATAGATCAGTAATTTTCTCAGTATTTCTAGATGTAATCRTATGTTAGCCTATTTATCTGGGAAGAGGAAAAATTCCCCCCACCCAACAATTTTTGTACTCTGCCAAAATAACTGATGCACTGGAATTCACTGGAATTCACTTCAGGTTGTTTCCCAGCTAATCAGAGACTCCAAGCAGGATGTTACAGGAGGAGGCYGGGGAACTTACATGGCACTGTAGTTCCAAACCTAGTGGGATTCAGTACAATAAACCTGTTCTTCAAGCTTCTTCGCCCCACTCCTTGGGCCCCAATCAGGACCAGTGTTTTCCTCTGAAAAGGAGGCATTTTGGCTACTTCCTCATATATCTGGATTTCATGACGATCAAATTCTACATTGATAAGTGTACAAAAAAACAGTTAATGCTCAGTCATTACTGCAAGAAAAATTAAGCCGTTTTGTTTAATATATTAATAAAGCATGTGTGAAATAACACTCAAAAGGCTTCAAGTCTGACAGAAGCTTTCTGGTTTATTGGAACACAATAGCTTCCCTTCAGGGGCAGCACAAAGTGAGATTATGACCTTTACTTCCACGGAGAACTTTGCAGAGTGATCAGAATTGGAAAACAGTGATTACCTATTAGTGACCTTAATGTCTTTTTTCTCCCTTTTTTTAAAAAAAAAAGAAAATAAAAACCAAAAACACCCTGCACACCACTCTGCTTTGATCTCCATGACTTCCACCTACTGAAACACACACCCAGCACCCTATCTCCATTGGTCACTATCTCTTGTAAGTCTTAAAAACTACCTAACTACTGAATTTATAATCAGATATTTCACTTTGGATACACATTCTGCTTTAGATACATTGGATTACCCGCAAGTTTAGAAGTCTACGGAACTTCTATTCTTAAATATTATTAATACCTGCATTTCTTGTGGTGAGATACATCATCTTTTTCTTTTTTTTGCTGCTTATTGTTCCGCAGAAAGGCCCTGGAAAAACAAAATTGAAACAAGCTCATCATTTTTCCTAAATGTATTTTCTTAAAAACACTAAAATTACACGGACTATTTTGAAGAAATGATTTTTTACCTTTCTAAAATTTAATATATCTCAGGGAAGAATATGTCTACCGTCCCACATTAAGTGGTATAGTAAGAACAAAATACAGAGAATAAACTTAGTTTACCAAGAAAGATTTCTTAAAAAAAAATCCTGAAAAATCCTTGAAATATGTTTACTATATTAACTTTTAGAGCATATTAAAAAAAGAAGAAAAAAAAGCTTAATCTATGGCCTTCCTTCCCATCTCACTCAGCTTTTCATCAGGAGATGGCAAAAGTGATTCACTTATCTACGACAACTAAGTGTACAGTTTTACTTTTGTCCTTAAGCAAAAACCTAAGTCATTCAAATGCAATAATTAACATTTACCAATAATGAGTATTCTCATATAGTAATTTTCAGTATCTATAATGGCTGGAAAGGGGGAAAAAAAATGAGCCAGAGCAAAATATAGTCCTAAAATTCATTCAGTCTCACCTGAGTTGTCCCAGTCCCTCCTAACAAATGCCTTTCTTTTCTCTTCCAGGAACTGGCTGGGAATAAGTCCTGCACTTCCTCCTTCCTTGACATGACTAGCCTATTAAAAAAGAAATAAATAAAAATGYAGATAACTTGTGAGAAACACCTGTTTTTAAATTAACATTTCAATGCCTGACTTTCATACTGCCAGTATGGTACCAGCATTGKGCCAGTTTTTTCAATGGTGAGTGCTGATACTTCTGTTATCCAGACTTAGAAACTCAGATTCAGATGTGGGGTTTAGAATTTTGCCTTACAGCAGCAGTACCTTTTCACCGAGTTACCAGAACTCAAAAGAGCTTGGAGAAAACTGATCCAAGTTCACTACCAATTCCTACTCAGTGAACAGCCTCCTGGAGCTGTAGACCTTGGGTGTTGAACACCTATGTGGACTTCCCTAGTGCCAAATACTGAGCTCTCCAAGTGGTGAAACCAGCTATTTTTCATTCACGAGCTTATTTTGTGTTCTCACGCTGCTCCAAGCAGGTTCCAGTGCAGCTTTTTAGCTGTCATTTTACAAACACGGAATTTCATTAACACATACCTAATCATTCCTTCAAGCTTCTGCACTGCCCAACTAAAGATTTCTATCTCAGTAACTAAGTATTGCTAGTAATCAAAGTTTGGCCAACATTCTCCATCAACGTCATTCATAAATTTATTAGCCCTCGGCAGGACTAAGCTCAACAAGCTCAGTGCCTTCAAACACACGGTTATGAAATGCTGTATTTTTCCTTCTCTAACTGTCAGACCGTGTCTCCTGCTAACAGGAACTTTTCAACGTGGATTCCTGTACCTATTAGTGGCTACCTGAATTTTACAATTACTAAGTTTTCAGTAAGTCTTGACTTTCCATCAGCTTTTTCCCCATAATCTGCACAGAGTTACTGGCAATACGCTATGTTGCCTTAATACAATTAATTTTTCCACCAATCATAGAAGCTGTTTAAGAGACCCTTTGATTTACCTTGCCTGGGTTCTATCAAGTTAAAAGTTGGATGAATTTGAAAAATAACACAGAAGAGAGCACACAAACTCCTTCAAACTACTCGGGAGTTTCATTGCATCTAGCTCCTAAAACTGACTTAGCAGTAACAAATTTCCTGCATTTTCCTCCATCCACTTTTATTCTTTTTTGCTTAGTCACTTAAAAGTGACAATCCAACAGCGCTGAAGTCTTTTCAAATATTTTTGTTGATCTTCAGAGCAATATATACAATTAAATAATGTTTGGCCCATTACCCGTTGKAACCCAGCATGGGGCTAGCAGTTTAGGGGTGCAAAGGGAAAGTCATCATGCTTAACTCCTAGCTTGGATTGCCACTGCCACTTGCAATTTTGGGCTTCTCAGTTGGGAAAAAGTGCTCTGCCAGTCCACTCATCTGTATTCAACCCCACCGTGATCTCTAACTGTGCGCCCTGGGTTGCATTTCTAGAGAAGGACTGAATGCAAAAAGAACATCTCAAAGCAGGATGAACTGTTACKATTTCAAAGTGGATTTTGAACATGCCCGTTACAGCTCACGGACACTGCGGAAACTAAAGACAGAGCCTCTCCAAAACAGCTGCTCCATCCCCCTGCAAATCCACAGGGTTCATTTCCCTCTCCTTCTCCTCCACTCTGAGCCCTCAGGAAGAGATCCGCTTCTCCCACAGTCACTGTCAGGAAGGTTTACCACAATTATTAGAGGCAACCTAAGGATTTCTGCTAGAAATTGTCCACTTAAAACTGATTTTGGAAGGGCTAGGTTATAATACAGAGCAAAGACAAATAAATAGCAGCAATAGCAAATGGCCAGTGTTACACAGATTGCTGATAATTTACTCATATAAACTATAAATTTTGACATCTTACTAGATCAAAAATTCATTACAATCTAAATATTCTTCTCATACGCTAAAATACTTCATTACTGAAGGAGTTCCTTATTAATTGTAACCAGTGAAGCTCTCTTTTTTCAGTACATATAGAAAAAAAGAAGTTTTTATTGTTTTACCAACCTGCCACCAATTTGGATCTTCCCGGTTCACAATCTGAAGAATTTCACCTTTAGAAAATTTCAAACCAGCTTCTTTACACGGGATGAGGTTGTCATTATATGGATTATAATCAAAATGACACTTCACAAAAACCTGAAATATGTAAAAAAATACTACGTCTGAAGAATACAAGACACATTCCTTCTACTTTATCTGTCAAGATGAAGAAATGCCTTAGAGCCTAAAAAGTATGACATGAACCAATTTGCATTTGGCACGTAAAATACAATTTATGAGAGGCAAAAAATCACAAATAGCATACCAGCTGAGAGAGCAAAATTAATCTGCAGTGCAAACCTTGGCTGAAGGAGCTTTATGACAAAAATAAAAAGCCAACTGTTCAGTTTGGACAGTGTATTATACAACATTTGTTTTTGCATTTCAATATACAATATATCTCTATTAGTATTCCGACATTAAATTACTCAAAACTTCTATATTCCTCAGAATGAGAGATATGGCTTCAAGGTTTGTAGAGTCTGGAGCACGAGTTTTGCCATGACCTCAGGGTTTAAGCAGTCACATCTTATTTGCTTTAAGACCCAAACTTGATGCAGGGGAAGAACCAGTGAATTGCTTTAGGAGGCCAGAGACAGCTTTGTTATCCCAGCTGGCAGAAAAACAAGCCACTGATTTCTGCCAAGGAGAAACCAGCAGAATGCAGCAACGACAAAAGGATACGGAACAGCCACCAACTTCCTACCTACAGTCAGACTCACACAGCAAGCCACGCTGCCGAATGCAGTAGGTTTCTGGAGTCTAGGAAAGGGACTACTTGGACATTCGAGCATGTTAAATGCATGGGGTTYATTTCAGTGCAGTGTGGCTAGGTCACAAGAGGTCACGAGATACCACAGAAACATGCCTGAAATTCTGATATGATTTAAAAACCAAATACATAGAAAAAGTAAACCCTACCAACTTCTACCAACTTCTATTAGATGTTACCTGAATGTACTGAATAATCCCGTTTCCAATACGTACTTAAGAGGAATATGGATACCTGCATTTTAACTTTCCTGCTAACGTTATTTGTGCAAAACCAAATCATAGCTAATGCCAAAATCCCACAGCCATTTTACGCAATAAAGCACCAAGCAGAAGTTGCTTTGACAGAATTGGTAGGAGCGCAGTGCCAACCTGCTGAGGGATAACCGTGTCTCTGTAGCTGGGGAGAATCTTCAGCGTCACRCTCCCGCTGATGTTTTTCAGCAGCTCCTGCAGCTCCTTTGGATTGTTTCCAACCTCGTGGCCATTCACCTCCTTAATGATGTCACCTACATGCAGAAGACCCTGCCGATCTATCATGCCGCCGTGCAGGATTCGCGCTATCACCAGGTCGTTGTTCTCCACTCTGAAGGTAACGCCCTGCAARAAACACACGACACCTGCCTTACCACTGCTTGAATTCCACTTTCGTTTCACCATTACCTCAAGCAAAAATACACTGCTACGGGAGTACATGTACTCCCCTTGCAAGGAAACACTGCTAGAAAACACTGCTAAAAACAGTAATTACACTGTAAGAGTTCCTTACATAGCAACAAGTGTCAAGTGACACAAAAGTGCTTTCACACAAGGTTTTTTATATGGCTGAACCAAAACTGTACTGCTCTTGATTGCAATCCTGTCCTTTTGTATTATGAACGAGCTGATGCATTCGTTATGCTAACGAATCACACTGCCTCGTGAGCGTCTACTTGGTGTTGCAAATTCTTAAAAGGAATGGCAGAGAGGACAAGTTGATATCTTCCTATTTCAACTTCTCATTCCTTAGATTAAACAGTATGATATAAGAAAGAATCAAAAACTTACTGTAGATGCAAATACTTTTAATTACACCCATAATTTAAAGTCATACACGTGCAATTACTTACCAGTGGTTCTCCCGCTCTTTTGTGAATACCAAGGATGCGAATGGCATCTACTGGAACGATCTGGTTGTTCACCGAAGAATTATTGACTTCGGGACTAGAAGGAGGGGAGTCATAACATTTTGAAGCCACAATATCATGCGCTTCCAAGAGTGACTGGAAGGGAACAGAAACAATCTTTTTTATATTATGAAACTACCAAAATGAGTTAGTGCTTAGTAACCACTGAAATTGCCTCTTCAGGGCTTAAAACTCTTACTTTGCGTGGAACACAGCAAAAATTAATTTTCATGTTGACATGAAATGCAAGCACTCACGTGGCCTGATCACACCACTGTCTTGGCCAACACTCCTTCACAGACACAAGCACAGGATGGAAAAGGTGCAGAACAGTCTTTCACCGAGCGGGCCCGTCTCCAAGCAGATGGAGCAGTTTGAGCAAAACAACTTTCCAACACACACACGCACACACACACACACGAAAAACCACAAAAAATAAACAAAACCAGCCATATCCCAAGCCCCACCTTCATCATGAGTTGATGAGGATACTCATCTAATTCTAAATCTAATTGTAGGTATGCAAAGGTTTTTGGCAATCTGCAGAACAAGTCCTTTCATCCTGTATAAAACCAAAGCAGAATTCTAGCCCCAAATAAGGTATAACGAACCCAAGCTGACACACACCTCTTTTTGCAAGACAACAGCTCAGACACTTTAGTTAAAGTTTTCTCTAGTTCACAGTACAGACATAGTACAGTACAGTTCACAGTAGTTTTCTCTAGTACAGACCAAAAGCTGGAGACCCAAATAAATGTACTTATCTTTGGAAARAAATACATTTTCAAGGATCTTTTCTAAGAAACTAAAGTGTAAGATTAAAGAAACAAAAAATCTAAGATAAGAGAGATGGATTAACTAGATCATTGACCGGCTTCAAAGCAGCAGCAATGGAGAGCAATGAGGAATGTGGCCAGTGGGACACAGAGGCGGTAGCGATGCGGCCGTGCCGAGGAAGATGGCGCACAGGCCCGGGAAGGGGATGAGGTCCGAGGTGCTGGGGCTGCCGGGTGTGCAGTGCCCTCAGGCCGGCCCATCACAGGCCAGGCCACTCTGGCCGCTGGGCGCCAGGCTGAGGCCAGGCGGAGGCCTGCGAGGCGCCGCGTGCCCCCACGGTCATGTTCTGTGCCCCCTGCAGCCATGTTCTGCGTGCCCCTGCAGCCATGTTCTGCACGCCCCCCGCCGCCATGTTCTGCGCGCCCCCCGCCGCCATGTTCTGCGCGCCCTCATGAAGGCGGTGCACACTGGGTCCGCTGGTACCTCAGCCTCAATCAGGAGCAGTCACTAACTTGCTGACTGCCCCTTCCATTAAAGCTGTAAAAGCCGCTGGTTATTGGGCCCGCTCAGAGGCTTAGGACACCAACCAAGTCAAATGGCCAGGAAAGCAATCATTTATTTAAATCAAGCAGCTGTCAGATGGTAACAATTTTGTTATTATCTGAGACGCATCCAATCCAGAAAGCAGCATAACGCATCTCTGGCTTGCCAATGTTCGCAGCAACATTTCGGATCTTTCTACATTTTCAGATTGAAATCAGCTGGTACCAACCACACTTTCTGACCCCTTAGCACAGACAGCACCAGGCTGATGCAGCAGTAACATATCCACCATTTCCTTTTTGGTCACATACTAGAACAAGCTACTCCCTGGCCTTTTTGCCATAAACCATTCAGCGTTTTCTCATGGAGCCTCACACGTAACTGGGCTTCTGCATCCCCCTCCCTCCCACAGGGTGCTTTAGGGAATGTGAGCTGATCCACAGCCATGAATGACTCTGAACACCTATGCTGTCCTTTCCAGACTAACACATTTCATAGGATTCTTCCCTTTGCTCTGTTTCATGGATAAGCATGAATTCTCTTAACTCCTCAGGTATCTCTCAATCACAAAATCTTTCTCGTGCTATTTGCATGACAGCTGAGCCACAGAAGGGCCATCAGGGACAATACATTGCTGCCCACAAATATAAAACAGTTTGAGAAAAGACATTTCAGTTCCTTCAAAACTAACCACTGCCCATTTACTAACTTCCCAAATCTCCTCTCTTTTCTGAGACTCAAGGAATGATCCCAGTTTTAGCAGGCTGTTTCCAATCCAGTCAGAATATGGGACACAGTCTTAGGCCTATTTAGGAAACAAAGTCACCTCTTAACAGGTTTCTGTGAAACCAAACACGGCACAGAGATGGATACAATTGAGAGGATGCTTCACTCTCGACTTACATTTGTCAATATATTTGTCAGTATACTTCAAAAAGGCATGTGACAGCTTCTCTACACAGCTACTATACGATAAGGTGGGTTCTCAAGTAAATGGAAATATTGGTTAAAAGACAAAAAGAATGGAGGGCAGGAATAAAGGATTCATTTTCACAGCTTATGTCACCTGTGGATTCCCACAGGCATCCTGGCTCACTTATACACCTGGCAATGTCCTGGCAGGTCACATAAGCCACGTGGAAAACAGGCCTGAGAAGCGAGAGCGTTTGCTGATGCTGCTAAGCTGGTTGGGAAGCACACGAGTTGAGCTGCAGGAAAAGCTCTTGAGCAACAGAGGGAGAAAAAAAGCAAACACAGCTCTCCAGGGACTGCAGAGAGAAACACAAACCTAATCTAAGATCTCTGAGTCTGCCGGTTAATATAATCTCAGAGGTTCAACAGTCCTAAAAAATAAATAGCCTCTATATTCAGCCTCTGAACATGAACATGAAGGCTGGGTTTGCCTTAGCGTTTGCTGTTCATGCCAGTGAAGGTTCTCACTTGGTCTCTGTCTTCCATAGTCACTTCCAGTCTCTACCACTTAAGCTACTTGTCCAGCTGGCCTCTGGTCTTTCCCACCTCTTCGGAGACCACTGCAGTGCCTRTCAGCATCAAGCTCATTTAGTAAGTTCTTCACTTACCAAGTCTTTTTCATCTTCTGGTTCTCTCTCTGCAGCTTGTCAGTTTTAGCTTCTCTACCTCACATGAACTATCTTTGTCAGATCTGTCACTGAACAGTTCTCATCTTTTTTGTACCTCAGCTACCAATTCCTCCAAATTTATCCTTTCCCTTTCCAATCCCAATTTCAGCTAAAATTGATCAAAGACTGGAAGGYTGTTTCACCAGTGAGTTTCTAGCTCAATCCCTGACCCCTTTGATACGATGCCCTTCTAGACAAATGAGGGAGAGCCCTGGAGAGCTCAACACCCAGCTCCTCAGAGCACGCAAAGGAAGGGTCAGAGCCTGGAACAGTCACTACTCAGCGAGCTGCTGAAGCATCCCCTACTTCCAGTAGGCTGTAACATGGCTGGGCAGCATTACTGTCTTTTACAGACTTTCARCTGTAATGCAACTCTTTGCTCTGTGTGTATAATGTAAAACCAAAATTTAGAAAGGCATACATTTAAACTCACATATCTAAATATGTTACAGTTTTTCTATACTCATCTCCCTCAAGAAACACATTCATATAGTGGGGAAAAAAAAAAAAAGTTGCTTATGTTCTTCTACAAGATATCTATAAGCTAAGTACTAAACCCAGGTGAAGTCTGGCAATCAAGTGCAGAATACACAAGAATTTACAGAACTTACTGCCCCTAAGTAACAGCCAGTATGCCAGTTCTAGAAAAATGTTTGCTTTTCACAGCTGTGCGTCAACATTTCATTTGCACAAAGTAAAGCAGCAGAAAGAAGGATACAGAACTTTCAACTTACTTAAGCTGCAGTGTTGRCCTCTTGTCATAACAGAATCTGGTTCAGTCACTCTGAACCAGAGTGTAAATGTAAATAGCTTCAGAGAAGTGCAGAATGGTYGAAACCAGGAGCCAAGACCACCTGGAAATGCTAAGAAGGGGCCTCCCGTGGATTTTTAATAGCATCTTAAGAAGCTATTAGCCAGTATCTTAGCCATCTTAAGAAGCCAGTAAGCACACAGACACTACATTTCTGTCCCAGAATTAAAACAAAAGCTCAAGTATGTTTTATCAGAATGAATGAAAATACATTTGAGAAGATAAAATCCTATTCATTGACCACACATGGCTTCTACTTCACCTTTCAACAAGAGTAAAATTCCAAGTAAGAATATGTTGCAACTATTTTTGCTTGTTAGGTTAAAGTTGTTTTGGTTTAYTATCACACCTCAATCTGTGTGTGTACACTAATCTAATAAATGGTCAATATACAGAAAAAAATGGCACCTGAAAATGAGGTTCCTTGAGTATTCCTACTAACTCKGCAATATTTTCATCTTTATTTACTAAGGGACTGATGTCTTCAAGAATTTCATTCACCAACTCCAAGTTGTTATCACTGACAGCCTCAAGTTTAGAATCTTCCAATCGCTCATGAGCCTGTAAAGAAAACAAACATATTACACAGTAAGTTTCAAGTAGATAGCACTTTCAATTCAGGTAGCTTTCATTATTCTTTGGGTCCATCCTTCATCAGGAAAGGCATAACTGGAACATTTAATCTAGTTGTATATTTTATCTTCAGAACAGTTGAAGGGTTTTGCATGCTTGGCTGCAGGGCCAGAGATAAACTCTCTGAAGGGCCCCTGTTGAGAGCTGCTCGCATGCCTGTATTTCCCAAAACCTCTGGGTGAGAGGCAAACACACTAAGCAGTCCTCGGAGAACAGCAGAGCACTTCACATCCTCCCTGCTTCAGAACCCACTGAGGTAAATGTTCCAGAAGAGCAAAAAAGCAGCTCCGGGATCTACTCAGAAAAAGAAAAATCAGTAAGGTCTAGAAAAATCAGTAAGGTCTAGAAAAATCAGTAAGGTCTTAATGAGAAGCATTTACCTTAGGTTCCCCCTACTCAGATTCCTTCATAATTTGCATTTTGGAAGCTATATTGAGTACTTCTTTCTAGAGATATTGCTGCAGATGTAACCCTTCTCTAAACAGAGCAGACACTTGAATAAACTGAAAGGCAGGAGCTTTGGAGGCAAGACAAGCACCTCACAAATGCAAATGCTTTGCTTATTTATTGCAAGCAGTGCTATAGCATAAGATGAGAGAATTACACACTAAATTGAGAGTTATTTACAACACTTTAGCAACAAGGAGTTCAAAGAATAACTGCTGTGGTAAAGGAAAAAAAAATTATCTTCAGAAAGAACACTTTCTTTGTCCCTAAAGTATTTGATATCTATAAAAKGGTATTTCTTCAGGACTGATGATCAAAATTTAGATCAGTTAACAAAGACACTTGTTTCCCACTACCAGCACCCACTGAGAGCTTGGCACCTACTCACATTCTCCAACTGTGCTTATATAATGCGATACAAATAGTAAACAACATCTATTTTTTAAGGTTTACTTTTATAGAAAAAAAAATATATATATAAAATATATCTTTTGACTTCTAAAATAAAATCCATCTGCAAAAACATTATAAGATTAAGGAATCCAAATTAACATGTTTTGCCTTTCCCACTCCTTCTCTTTAAAATACTACCACTACCACAGGGTTTAATCTAAATACAAACATCCCTATCCCAAGCCCCAAATCAGAGCTATGTATGTACAGTGGAATAGAAAGTTTATCAGCTAACGAACTCCCATCCAGCAACAGACCAGAGATTAACAGGATATGGAGTAGTCTGATTTTTTTTTTAAATTATCTTAGAACTTGTGGGTTTTTTCATATTTCAGATATGGTGAAAAGATCAAATCCATTTTTTTAATTAATTCAGTATTTTTCATACTTGTCTAATGCTCAAATAATATGACTCCAACAATGTGACATCCTAAACACTGGATTTCATGTTTATAGTTCATTCGAAGATGAAGCCTCCTCAGGCTGGGTTAGCCACGCTAAAAGCCCTGAATTTAGTCTCGTTGGAGAACAGAGATGGAAGCTTTGAAGTTCAAAAGGACAGTGGACACTCTAGGTAARAGCAAACGCTGATGAGGTAGGTAGGTAGCAAAGCACAGTAGTTACTGCACGCGCCAAAGTTAGCAACAGCTTAAACAAAACCAACAAACCGACCAACCCATGCACTTCTACGTGCCAGGTAGGGCTGAACAGAAACCTCAGCCACTAACAGGAAAAATCCTTTTACAGTCATTCTAGTTACTTTCCTTTCCCTTTAAATGCCCCCCACCTGGAAACACACAAGAACTGGAAAACAAATTCACAGATAAAGGAAAGAGGGAGGGAGAGAAACGWGCACAAAGTCTCTCCCTCGGAGACCTGCAGTTTCTACCTTGATGGCTTTATTCTAGAATAGAAAGAAAACAAACCACCTTAAATGTATCTTAAGAAGATAAACTGCATTGCAAAATATTATTTTAAACTAAAACCCATGAAAAACCATGCTTATTGTTTGCCTTTTTACGATCTGAATAAAAGCAAGCCTATATTACTCATGGCCCATTTCCATAAGTTTCTTTTTTTATCCTTATTGCAATACTTTAYATAATGAATAGTCTTAATAGATGTCTAATAAAAGAAAGTGAAAAGGCTTTTACAGTTCTGGTCTGGTCTGAATGGAATTTTCACGAGTAATGTGGCCATCTCAGACAATTGTCTATCCTGTTTAAGCTGGCTCTGCTAATAGAAGAATGTTTATATGCTTTTAGAGACAAATTGATACGGACAAACTTCACAAAATGTGTTGCCTTGTTGATGCTATCCTCATTTAGTTCTGCTGGCCTGTTTCTGGATTTAATTCTGAAATAATTACAATAGAAAACATCAGTGTGGTCATCCCATGTGAACGCAGCTAAAACCATGCAGCATCTCTGATAAAGCAAGCTTATAGTTGAGAGTCTGCGTTTCCATTACCAGTTTTTTTTCTTTTTAAATATCTGCTATCATTAAATTCCCCATCATTGTAAAAATAATTGTAAAAATAAAAACATCAAGAGATAAGAAAGAAAAGATGCTTTGTAATGAACATTTTGCTTATGATAACTATTAAAGGATGAAGTATGCAGCAGATACTGAAGCCGGAAAAAACTCTAAGCAAGAAAGTGCTTTAACTTAATCCGATGAATTCAGTATCCCATAAATTCAATAACAGTCATCAACAGTCGAAACACTTCAATTATTTTTAAGCTTATCACTATGCATTTTTTTCCACTTCTATCCAATGTTTTCTTAATATCTGTACAGAATTAAATTCTTAATTAAATTCTTATGAGAAACTTTCCTTTTCGGATTTTTATACTCAGCAAAATCTCCATTTGTCCATCTTTGAGCTTTCACACACTTGCAAGTTATGACTACAGAATATTTCATGGCTGCCCAGAGGATTGGCCAGCCTTATTTTCAGATCTCTGACAATATTACAGAGACTGCTATATTTAAATCATCAGTTTTCATCATGTAAGGAGCTATTTGCTATAGCTGTGAATTAAAAGTAAGAAAGAACTGCTGGATGATACGATAAGTTTAGCTACATTTTAATTACAGGAAGAATTTTGTATCCATAACTTTACATATTTATAAATGCATGAATAAAAGATTTAGATAATGCAAAATCACAACTAAGGATAGYCCATGTCTAATCAAAGGTCAAGATGCAGAAAAGGGCCTGCACTTCGTGCAGAGAATATTTTATTGGGTTGATCAAAAAGTCATTCTGAGTCAAAGACAAAAAGAGAGACAAAAGGACTGTTGGTCATGAGGGAAGGGACTGTTATTGCTCTCACTTTCCAGCTTTAGCACAAATGCTTAAGGTTGGAAGGCATATAGATCTTTCACACAACAGTAGTCACAAAGTTATGTTATTAACAACTGTTTCAGATTTTAAATATATTGACTTTTTTAATAAATAATATTATAACATTATTCCTAGAGTCTCTGAATTTTTGGGTTTTTTTCTTCCTGAATCTTCCATACAACAATAAAACAAATTGCACAGATATTACAATATACCAGATTTGCTGTATCCGTGCTTATGAATTCCTTCAGGTCTACTAACAAGACATACCTAACATAAAAGCCAATTTTTATACCTTGATCCATATTCCTTACTCGCACAAGGGTTAAGGAGTTAAAGCCTTCCCAAAGTCTAATCATAGCAGTAAGCCAAAATACCTTAGCAAGGGATCTTACAATAGGGTTTTCCATAATTCCTTTGAGGAAAATCAGGTCGATTTCTTCGGCTCCTGTTGATGTTGGTAGATCCGTGAGGTTATCCAGGACCTGCTGCATGGCTGCTGGCAGACAAACAGAAAGAAAACCAAAAAGGTAAGTACTGACCGAAAGCGCCTTGCACAAACAGTGAGAGACTCTGTAACACAACCACTATCGGAGAGGCAAAGCAGCTGAGTGCATCRACTGAGAGCAGGTAGACAGATTGGAAGAAGGGCTTTCTTTGAAAGAAGGAAACAATGAATCTATCCAAATCTTTATCTTCACAATCAACTAGGCCCAGCACATTCCTTTTAACATTCACAACTACTTAGAAATTGAGAAAAACAGAAATATGCGTAGAATTATGTATATGAAGTGCATGGAGATAACCTTCCAAATACAATCATATCTAATTTATTACCCTTTGTTCAAACTCTCTTTCAGAAAAGTTATCAGCTGCCACACAAGCGCCAACCAACTGCATGTTTTACAGTGCTTGTGTAGGCAGGTATCAGTGTTTCTTCCAAATGAGCATGTTTTTGTAAGTCTTTTCAACCAAAAAGCACATCGCCAAGGCAATTCCATCCCCACCAGTTCTGCAAAGCCCCCAGTTCTGAGCTATCACCTACAAATTCACAGCGACACCTGCAGCACCCAGGAGCCCAGGAAAAGGTTGGAAGATCCTCCTGTTCCACGGTCCTGTTCCACGAAGGGATTTGCAAGGTCAGAGTTCTGTGCAACTCCCTGCTTCAACCCTCCTAATTGAACAAAGTGCAGATTAATGTTAGTGAGCAGGCTGAACTGTAGATTGATGTTAGGGGGTCCGATGTGCTCACAAAGTTCTTGCAAATCTGGGTGCATGAAGAGCGGCCCTTACACGGGCTTTTGCTGGCRAGCTTGGAGAGATGGGAATGGGGCAACTTAGCCTGAGCACCAAAGCAGACACCAGGCCCTTCATGGGATGCTCGGCCTCTCTTCCTCCTGCTTTCCAACATGTAACTGAGCATTCTCACCTTGTTACAACTATGTGAGCAGTAAATATTGCTTACAGCAGGAAAAAGGGGGTGGGGGAAGGGAAGAACAATAGAGATTGCTGTTCTTTCAAACTCCCTTTGAGCTTTATGCGCCCGCACACGGGTGCTGCGTGTTGCTCAGCAGCAGATACCACGAGAATGAGAAGCCCTATATGTCCCTTCTCCCACACAGGAATTTACCCTGAACTTTCTTTATTGCTTCATAATGAGAGCTATTATGAAAAGCGGCAAAGTAACAGAGCAGAGAGCATTTCTCAACACCTACTTCCTAATTTCAAGCCTTCCCAGATAGTTTCTTGGAACAGAATTATTTTGTTGACGTTCCTTCTCTCTCTCTCTCTCTCTCTCTCTCTCTCTCTCTCTCTCTCTCCAGTGCAGCTAGGGTTTTTTTTAACAATTAAATCATCTGGTTTGCTGCATTTTACCTAGAGTATTTTATGTCAAAAGACTGCCTTTCACATATATATAATGCATATATACATGTGTATATATAATCATGTTCTCACTAAGCATACTCTCTCTTACTTAAAAAAAATCCTCTTTGCAGCCACGAGTAGGAGGCAAAGTGACACATATCACGCTTTCAGAGCTTGACAGAAATACTATTTTTATTCTTTGATAGACAAAGTGCTGTGAGCAACCACACAAATTCGCAGTGCATAAAGGCACCAAATCAACACATACACATCCCCATGCTCCTCAAACTACGGGCTCACTACAGCACTTTATGCAGATAAAGGTGCTAACAAATACCTCTCTTATGGCTCTCCATTATTACTATTAGTAGTAAGCTATTATTAATAACCTACTTGACCCTTTCAAAACTCTATATAGCTTCAAATGAGCAAATAAAATGATACAAATCCCTGCATAAGAACTTTCGCATCCAAGAGAAGCTGTTGGGACCAGCATTTAAGCTTCCCAGAAGTGACTTTCAGGTTTTGTGCAGCTAGACAAGACATTTTCAAATGGAGCTTTCATTTAAGGGTGTCCCAAGTTTTATATCGAAACAGCTGAAATTTATTTTGGCCTTCATGGAACAGAGTAAACACCTTTATCAACACGCTGAGCTCAGAGCATTCACTGAAAGCTCACATCCTAAGTAATGAAAACCCAAACCTGATGTTTTCAGACATGACTTCCTACGGATGATGCATCATCTCTAGGGCAAAAGCGACCAGGCTCTGAGCAGCGAGCTTCTCCAGGATAACGAGCAGCCTGGTTACCTGCAGGCAGCCCCTACGGGGCCTCTTCAGGACCAAGTGCATTCACCAAAGGCAAAGCAAAAACACTGACCTTCAGAGAAAAAATTGAAAAGCAACAAAAGAGCTTGGGTCTGCTTTTTATAGGATGTGCTAACTACATACTAGAGCAGTGTTATGGGTAACTCTTCGTCGCTTCCCATCCATAGGGCTACGATTCAGAACACAACCAAGTGCTTCTTTTTCCCAAACACATCCCGAGCATCTTTCATTAGGAGCAAGTTCTTAGGCCACGCAGTTTTTTAGTATATGAACAGTCTCCACACACAGTTACAGGACAAGAACCCAGGTCTGCTCTCAGCACAATAAAAAGGTTAATGTTGAAGATTGCTGGTAACAGAAATTAAACTATTAAATCTATTTTAGAAATAGAGTTGGAATCAATAAAACTGAGAAGAAAACACATATACACACTCCTGAATRAGAAACATTTATTAAGAATTAAATGTAAAACTGCAAACTTGTCCAAGTCAGGATGCTGGATTTAGCAAATATGTTTTAAATATGTTTTTCTTTGGCCCATTCCCAAAGCACAGGTGATTCTTCAGCTGCAAAATTACTCAGGTTTATCACTAACCAGTTAGAAACATTTGGTCTTTCCCTCTTATTGAGCTGATAATTTATGCCTACAGATAGTCACCCATACCAGATCAATCACAGAAGCTCTAGATATCCATTCAACCTCAGAGTGCCTAATTCCACAGACAACTTACTTCAATATTGATATTTTAAGTAGCAACCTTAAAAACCGCTTCACATTTTTTTCCCCCAAGAGAAAAAAACCTTGAGCTCTTTCTGAAGGTACCTTATCTTTCAGCAGCACAAATGAAAGCTGCAGATGAAAGTACATCTGCAAGTACATTTATGGGGAAATTTTACTCTAAAATTTAAGGTCCTACCAGCAACATCCAAGGAATTTAGAGGTCACCAAATTTAAATATCCTACCAAAAACTGCTTTTTCAAAACTTCCATCTTTTCCTTATCTTTGCTCCTGAACTATTCCACATCTGCAAACCCAAAGTGCTTGCTAAACTGGATTTAGAGGGGGGAAAAAAAGACAGACCTGTAGAATTTGTATGCTAAACCTTGCATGCAACGTGGGAGTCAGGAAGCGGAGGGAATGCGCACATAGCCTGGTAAGCAGCAGAACTGCATAAGCCAGGTTCTCAGAGATGTTCCTGCTGTTGAATCCTTCGTTTTTCCAATAAAAAGGAAGCACATACACACACACAAATGTGTGTGTATGTGTGTGTGTGTGTATTTGTGTATAAAATATAACAAGAATGCCCAGAGGCAGTAGCCTGCAGACACAGCAAGACCAGCTCCCATTTGGGATGAGGTGTTGAAATAAAGGGAGAGCGATGGGGAGACACCTCGGCTGAGCTCTGTGCCGTTACTGAACACCCCGAGGCAAAAGAATATAGAGGTCCCATTTCTGAACAGAAAATCTGTTAGTCAGAATGATTAATGCTGCCTAATTCTAGTAGAGCTTTGTAGGCAACCAAAAAGGAGGCTTAGAAGGATTGGTCCACGTGCTGTACAGTTCCACTGTAAATTCAGGTCAAATAAAAGTAAAATTCACTATGATGGACTCCTCATAAGAGAAAAGACAGSTTTTTACTGAGATCTCAGCTGTGATTCTTGTATCAAATTCAATTTCCTTCCTTCTCTCAATACCTTGCCCCACTCTACATTAATTCTATGGAGAGGAAAGAGAGGGCAYACATCTAAAGACATTTTCTTGCTTTGTAGACAGAAGACAAATGTGTCACAGGGGGAAACGAAAACCCTCCACACTGAATACTTTGCACCTTTTTTTTTTAAGCTCAATTTCATTTTATTAGTCTCCAAGCTTACATGCTAACAGGGAATTAAAACCCAATTATGAGTAACATACTTTAAATGAGTGCATATTTATTTACACATGACATACCCACCTACTCACCTCGCTAGGAGGAATGCAATAAATACCTCAAAAGCTGCTATTGGTRTTGGTAAGGATGAAGTGCCTCACAAAAAGCCCAGAAAATTTGAATAAATTCTTGTTACATAAATGAAGTTTGGAGACAATTTCTCGCGTGACTGAAAATCTTTTCAAGAACTGTATCAAAGAGGAAAGTTTCACAAAATTCCTAATACACACACACACAAATAAAAGGTTTATAATTCATACAGCTTTAAAAAAAAAGACAGCAGTTTATTTTTGTATGAGTATTCATATTTTAAAATGTGTGCGTGCACATACTTTATCCCAATGCAGGCCACATCTCTCCCGAGCTATATAAAACATYAACTGGAGCCTAGATCTGAAAAAACAGGTACCAATGAATAACTTAACATTTTGGACGCAGATGAACAAGCTCTTTCCCTGAGAATACACRAAGCACTGACAAGGCTTCTGCTAATGCTGTTAGAAGAAGCTTCAGAAATCAGCACAGATACAAAACACCAGCATAACAGGCACAACAAAGTAAATAAGGATTTTTGATGTCTGCTCTTCTCTTTTCATCTTAATTTTTCAGCTCTAATATTAACCTGAGCAAATGATTCAGATTTGTTGTATCTCTGTATTTCTGTCGCAGCAGTCACAGTTATTTTTTGGTGCAGGGGAGAAGCAGCCTGAAGACAGTGTAACCAGCTGACAAAATACTCAAGTTCCATTTTTTCTTGGTGGGAAAGTTAGGTTGCCAACATACAAGCCCATCCATGCAACTTTATTACCAAACACATGTCCTAGCCTTACGCCCAACTCAATGAAGAGTTCTTCCTAAATCAGGTCCATCACCC